CTGTGGAGGGAGCTGAAGGTTCGAGTTGCCAAACGTCAGCCTCGAAACCTTAATAACTTGGAGAAGACCTGCAAAGAGGAGTGGGACAAAATCCCTCCTGAGATGTGTGCAAACCTGGTGGCCAACTACAAGAAACGTCTGACCTCTGTGATTGCCAACAAGGGTTTTTCCACCAAGTACTAAGTCATGTTTTGCAGAGGGGTCTATTTCCCTCATTAAAATGCAAATCAATTTATAACATTTTTGACATGGTTTTCTCTGGATCTTTCTGTTGTTATTCTGTCTCTCACTGTTCAAATAAACCTACCATAAAAATTATAGACTGATCATTTCTTTGTCAGTGGGCAAACGTACAAAATCAGCAGGGGATCAAATACTTTTCCCCCCTCAATGTATGTAGATATTCCATTAAAAATCAGCCTTTTCCAGCTACAATAGCCATTTACAACATTAACAATGTCTACACTGTATTTCTGATCAATTTGATGTTATTTTAATGGACAAAAAAATTGCTTTTCTTTAGAAAACAAGGACATGTCTAAGTGACCCCAAACTGTTGAACGGTAGTGTAGCTGTCAGGTGCTATAGCCTCAACATTGATAACAAAAAATAAAACATTCCCATATCATATGAAACAGTCAAATATGGTATTAAAGGTACTTCCAATGACCGAATAAAGTTTTTCTTCAGTATCACGTGAAAGTCACTTTAGCTGGAAAAGACAATGAAGGAGAGGACCTTAAGACAGGAAAGTAAAACCTAAAACTGAATTAAACAAAAAGGGGAACTGAAGGATAGAAGGCCATTCTAGACAATAAGATATTCAAACATCAAGCAACACTGTTGCTGGAAAACCATGTGAAATCCTCGACAAGAAGGAACAGCCACTAATGTGGAGTATTGGAGTTTCCTTTCTCCCCCCCCCCCCCCCCCCCCCCCCACACACACACATTTCTATTGGTCTAAGTATTGGTTTAAAGGTTATGCAATAAGCACTTCCTGCCCTGAAGCTCAGTATCATAGGAAAAACATATGACTGTGTGTTGAGAATGAGTTGATAGAAAGGAGTGGGAGAGATTAGAAGGAGTGAGAGGAAGGTGTGAAGGTATGACCATTGCGGTGAAACTGACAGGTAGAGAGAGCAGGGCTGACGGGGCGTTCAGAGCTCTGACTAAGTGAAACTCTGGGGCTTCCCTCCTTCCTCGCTTCAGTAACCGTTATGCTCCTGGTGGCGGTGGGGTAGGGGAAGGTATGAGTGGCAAATATTGGTCCACTTGTGGTTTAAAGTTAGATTAGGTCAGGATTGTATTTTATTCAATCTCCCTCTGAGATAGTATATAGCTTGGCAGCAGTAGCACCTGTAAATTGATCAAATTAAATGTAGTTTAAATGGCAGAAATATAACAGCGTTGGCAATAGACATAGTCAAACCGTTGAAAATGCCATCAAACAATCTTGAAAATGCCGCAAATGTGGAAAAGATAGAATAGAATACAATAGACCTTACCTTGTTGCCGACGACCCACAACTTCTCTGCTTGTAGCCCCATCATGTGGTCATGTCTGTTAAGTGTAAAATGGCCAAACAATTTCTCCTCAAGAAGAGTTCTACTGTAGGTTTATGTGCTCTATTTAAATGATTTGATCTTAACTTTGATTCTTACACATGTGGATATGTTTAATTTTAGCTTTTGAAATAGACATTTGAACATATAGCCTGGTGCTTTTCAGTTTCACCTAACTATTGCAATTCTGTGAATTCCAAAATTAAACATATTTTATCTGTAGTCGTCATCTGAATTATGCCCAATTGTGAGTTGATGACACTAACCACATTTCCATCCAATCATTTTATGCGGATGATTTACCTGACGCAATGAAAAAGTCACGACCGGGCTGATGGAAACATGAAATGCCAGTCCAATTTTATAAATGCCGACAGACAATTTGTTCGTTTGTTCATGATGGGATCTTTATGTGTCGTTAAAATCAATTATGCGAGAAATGGCGGTGGAAACGCCTTTATGCGCAAATATTGATATAATAAAAATCATATCGAAGTAAACTTGGAGCCACGCGATGACATGTCGTGTGGTCCTCCTACTAAAACTTGGGAAAGCATGCAGTTTATTAGGCTAGAGTTAATAAATGATGACGAACTTCACAGGGTGGTGAATGTGCAAGGTGTTGAGCTCGATGCTCCTTTGCAATAAATATCGACGGTCTTATTCTGGTGACATGATGATCGATGCTTTGGCTGCCTTTTGACAAATAAAAAATAATATCGCTCTTATCCATAATAATCTCATAATCTAGGTAGCCTACCCGCACTGTATCGGCGAGCTGTTGGCTAGAGCGCATGTGCCAAAACCAGAGTGGGCAAATTTGCTATATAACGCAACAGTTTTGAAAATGCGGTGGAAACCCATTTAACTTGTGTATTTTTCATTCGGTACATGGGAATTTAACGGCAAAAGTTATTTTTATGAGCACTACTACGTCATCACGCACAGCCTTTCATCCGTCAAAAGCAGTGGTGTAACGTACTTAAGTAAAAATACTTGAAAGTACTACTTAAGTCGTTTTTTTGGGGGGTATCTGTACTTTACTTTACTATTTATATTTTACTTTTACTTACATTTTAGTCATTTAGCAGACGCTCTTATCCAGAGCGACTTACAGTGAGTGCATACATTTTTTTTGTTGTTGAATTTTTCATACTGGCCCCCCGTGGGAATCAAACCCACAACCCTGGCGTTGCAAACGCCATGTTCTACCAACTGAGCTACATCCCTGCCGGCCATTCCCTCTCCTACCCTGGACGACGCTGGGCCAATTGTGCGCCGCCCCATGGGTCTCCCGGGCGCGGCCGGCTACGACAGAGATCTCTAGTGGCACAGCTAGCACTGCGATGCAGTGCCTTAGACCACTGCGCCACTCGGGAGACACTTCACTACATTCCTAAAGAAAATGATGTACTTTTTACTCCATACATTTTCCCTGACACCCAAAAGTACCCTGTTACATTTTGAATACTTAGCAGGACACGAAAATGGTCTAATTCACACGCTTATCAAGAGAACATCCCTGATCATCCCTACTGCCTCTGATCTGGCGGACTCACTAAACACATGCTTTGTTTGCAAATTATGTCTGAGTGTTGGAGTGTGCCCCTGGCTATTCATAAAATAAAATGAAGAAAACATATGGTGAAACGATGTATACTTTTCCTTTAACTTTTTAAACTTAAGTATATTTTAGCAATTACATTTACTTTTGATACTTAAGTATATTTAAAACCAAATACTTTTAGACTTTTACTCAAGTAGTATTTGACTGTGTTACTTTCACTTTTACTTGAGTCATTTTCTATTAAGGTATCTTTACTTTTTTAGTCAGTTTGATGGATATGCATCACTGGTGGGAAAATGCATATATTGGTTTTTTTATGCTGATTTTAGAATATTCGCATGAAAATCTTATGCAATTTGGAAGGAAACCGAGCTACTAACACACGATTTTGCATACCCACTAAGGAGGAAGTGAAATATTAGCATTGCATGCTAAAATGGTTACCCACCATGCATAAATGAACACATTTTATATTTTATCTATGTGGAGGAGGTGTGAAGGCTGATCTTTTACATTTTTAGATTGGGATTTTCCAACTCTGGGTGAGTGTAGGCTATAATGATTACCTCGACTCATTGTTTCAGTCCCAAATGGCACCCTATTCCCTATATAGTGCACTACTTTTGACCGGGACCTTTGGGACATACACGACGATTAGCTTGACTCATAAACTCTTCCGCTGTATTGAGTGGGTTTGACTGACATGGGCCAAGGGCTACTGACACCAGATAGATCATTTGCAACAAAGGGGTTATGCGCCAAAGCCTAAAGGAATTTAAACGTTGTGGGTGGCTGCTCATCTGCAATGAGCAATAGTATGATATCATCTTCCAAAGTCAGGCAGTTGTTGCCTTGATACGGTAAGGCTTATCAATTACATCACCTTATCACCACATAGTGAAAATGATTTGGTCTCAAATTGACAATCCCTTAGCCTATGCTAAATGGATGCACTGTGTATTATGTATATTTTAGTGGACAGACAATAACCCCCGTTAGCCTACAGTCTATTAGAATAATAGCAGTCTTCTTGCTTGCAGAGATCACAGACGACAGAGACGGAGAACAGGTGCGCGCGTTAGAGGGCTCTTTGCGCGTTCATAACGCGCGTTCATGAGACACCGGACACATTTACCGTAGAGCACTGCATAAATGCACAGATTTTACTTCAGGCTCATCGTGGCTGCTTTACACTAACTGATATGATGTGCAATATTGGCATTTCAGGTTTTTCTTTTATGTCATTGTTTATTTACTTTAATTTTTTTAATTATTAAAGTTAAGTAGGCTACGCTTTCATAAAGGGCCGTGTTTTTTAGTAGTATTATGGTATTGGGTTACCCTGAGTTACAACTCCACAAAGACAGGATTTATACAATATTACCACTACATGGCCGGCGTTTTGAAACTGTAGCTAGTTACTGTTGCTTATTAATAACATAGTTTAGTAACTGTAAAATCAGTGGCCAATGTTATTCTATCTCGAGGGCCGAAGTTGCTAGCTAGCTTTGCTAACAGTGCTATTGTTTTGCAGATATCTCTAGCTGGCTAGCGTAGCTACACGTTAGCGGGGCAATAAATCACACATGTGGGAGCACTGATTTTATACTACGACTCGTAGTACGAGATAGCCGCCTTTTAATGAATATGGAAACCACTTTTGATGTAAAGCACATTTTCCCTGAAAGGATTACAGTTTTGGATCAAAACCTAATTGCAGTTCGAAAATCGCTGGGAAGGTAACGTTATTCTATTCGTTTTCTGCAGCCAGAACAGCTTTTAATTTGGAACATTCGCTGATGAAATGCAAATCTAATGTGTTTGAAGCTAAGTTTACGATCTCTGGCTACATGTGATGTCTATTACAACATGATTGCGGAGATCTTCAGCCCAATACAGTTGTGCGTGAGGTCAATGTGTTGACAATCATTCAAGCCTTCCTCGGTTTGCAAAATGCAAAGTGACAGTTCTTAAAGCTGACAAAAACGCGTCTATGAAGCCTATATGTAACCTATTCTTAAGTTTTCACTATTTTGGATAGAAGATCACTGAGTAGTTTGAAACACTAGGCTACCACATTAGACCAATACATTAATAGGTTTATAATACACACGAGATCAATATATATTTAGCTGTTACAGCGTGACATGAAACAAACCTCCCATCTCTATTTTTATATTTTTATTCTTTAATGTAGGTCAGATCCTCAACCTCTAATTGCAGCAATAATTGATGAACTTGGAAGAGCCTCAGCCAAGGTATGTGTGTGTGTGTGTGTGTGTGTGTGTGTGTGTGTGTGTGTGTGTGTGTGTGTGTGTGTGTGTGCGCTATAGCATATTTGTGTTGCCGTAGTTTCATTCACTGCATTGTCTTTCCCCAGGCCCAATACTTGACAGCCCCAATCACAAGTGCATCAAAGCTGCAGACCAACAAGCACCATCTCTACCTGCTGAAGGATGGAGAAAGCAATGGGTACCGCTACCTCCTCACTCACTCATCATCACAGATCATGCACCCTCAGCTCCCTGTTTATAGCCTCTTCTGGAACATAGAAATAGGATTACTAGAAAAGCCTCCTAACTCCTCACTCATCATCACAGAACATGCACCCTCAGCTCCCTGTTTATAGCCTCTTCTGGAACATAGAAATAGGATTACTAGAAAAGCCTCCTAACTCCTCACTCATCATCACAGAACATGCACCCTCAGCTCCCTGTTTATAGCCTCTTCTGGAACATAGAAATAGTATTACTAGAATGGGGAAAGCCTCCTAACTCCTCACTCCCCATCACAGATTAGATTAGAACATGTAATGCTCTACTATTGAGTACGTGTTGTCCAGCATCAGACAGAATGAGACAACAGAACATCTGTTTCAAACCTCTCTTTGGAAGTCCTTCAAGTATTAACGTTTGTTCATCATCATACAGTAGCAAAAGCTTTTCAAGGCCACCTACTGTCACATAATTATTTATTTATTTAGTTAGTTATTTAGTTATTTCTTTCTTTCTTGTTGCTGTAATGAGTTGTGAGGTCACAAAGGGGGTGCAGGGTTAGTGGATTTACAAGCTAAGAAACGGTGTGGTGCTGAAACCAACACTACTAGTTCTGCTTTCTCTCAGTGGAATTCACTCAAATGGAAAACTAGGTTAATCATTTTGTGATTTCAACCCTCTTGCTTCCAATGTAGCAGCTTGACACTCTCTCTGTCTCTCACACACTCTCACACACACTCTCTCTCTCTCTCTCTCTCTCTCTCTCTCTCTCTCTCGCTCTCTCTCTCTCTCACACACACAGAGGAAGGGGACTTGCGGTGGGGTTTCTGAAGGTCGGCTATAAGAAGTTATTTCTGCTTGTGAGTCCCACTTTCTTTCATTGTGTTTTCCCACAATGTATTTGATGCAACATATGCAAAAGTTTGTTCCTATTAATGCAAAAGTGTGTTCCCTGTTTGCAACATTTCAGTAGTAAAGGGAGGTTTCAGCTCATTCAAATGTAGGGTTGTGACAGTCATGGAATTTTGGATGACGGTAATTGTCCAGCCAAATGGCCGTGTTCACCATAATAAACATTATTGCAAAAAAAATGTAAAGCACATTTTCTCCTCTCCTGACTTAATGTGCTGCCATATACACTGAACAAAAATATAAACGCAACATGTAAAGTGTTTGGTCCCATGTTACATGAGCTGAACTAACATATCCAAGAAAGCTTATTTCTCTCAAATTTGGTGCTGAGGAGTATTTCTGTCTGTAATAAAGCCGTTTTGTGGGGGGAAACTAATTCTGATTGGCTGGGCCTGGCTCCCCAGTGGGTGGGCCTATGTCTGCACCCCTGCCCAATCATGTGAAATCCATAGATTAGGGCCTCATAAATGTATTTCAATTGACTGATTTCCTTATATGTACTGTAACTCAGTAAAACCTTTGAAATTGTTGCATGTTGCGTTTATATTTTTGTTCAGTATAAATAGAATGAATAGAATGGGTGTCCCCATTCAAGTCAATGATAGCATAATGGGTGAACTTGCGGCCATTGCGAGCGTACCCATAGGAGTAAAGCAGAAAATAAACTCAATTGTAGTGAATTTCAGCTAACTACTAAGATAACGCATAGCATTACTGCTTAACTGTCATTCTATTCATTTAGACATTTTTAAAAACGGATTTCCCGACCGCTGGTCACGTTTTTCAATGCTAATCCTGTAGAATCCAGCAACGGCACTGGTGCCATGAATTTGTTTTATTTTCGAACGCTTCCGCATGGAATTATTACATTGTTTTAACCTTCACGTCTTCAACCTAGCCATAGATGCGTTAAAGAGGTCAATGGAACTCAACCAAAACAATGGAAATGCTATGGAAACGATTCTGAATCTCCTCATTGCCCCCCAGCAAAATTAGCCAACATATAGGCTATTGTTTATACAGTATGTGTATTTCACACTATGTTGAGGTAAAAATCTGAGTATAATGCTTGTATAGACGTCAACCCTAATACATGTTCATGTCACCATCATCAATCAACTGCATTACAGATAAAAACGACTTTGACTACCACCACTGATTTCTGTATGCTAGCTATGCTACCAGCTTATACGAACAGGAGGTAGCATTTAGCAGTCAGTTCTTCTAAACCTGAAAAGGGACAACTTCTAAATGTTATGCAGCGAAAACAGCCCACTATATTAAAATAGGACTTTAGTGACCACATTATGGGCCTGTTACAATACATCAATCATGACGGATTTGACGAATCTCCACTTTGTTAGATCAGATTTGTTGAATGCCAATCCGTCGTCTTTCTTCTGTCCCCAACGGTCTGCGTTCCGTTGACCTCTCTACCAATTTGAGTTTGCCAGTCAAATTGCCAGGGATAGAGGTTCCAAGCATGTTCTATTCATTCTATTTCTATGTGTTGCTGTTACATTGTGATCATTCAGTCAGCTGTTTGACAAAAAAAAAACTACAAAACAAATATTTATTTATGGTCTTCATCCATAACTGTCGGTTACATGGTTATACGGGAATTGTGCCAGCCCTATTCAAATGTACTAGTTTCCCTCACTATGATGTTTTTGATTACTCGTAATTGCCCCTGAGGGGATTAATCAAGTTGAATTAAATTCAATTGAGAATTGACTTGAATTGTGAATTGAATGTATTGTAATGTCTCCATAGGACCAGCGAGGGGCGCATGTCGAGACAGAGCCTCTGTGTGTCTTGGATTTCTTTGTGACAGAGAACCTTCAGAGGCACGGCTATGGACTGGAGCTGTTTAGCTTCATGCTGCAGGTGAGACAGACACCAGTGCCTTTACCTGGGACGGATGCAGGGTTTTGTATTTGTATTTATTATGGATCCCCATTAGCTGCTGCCAAGGCAGCAGCTACTCGTCCTGGGGTCCAGCAAAATGAAGGCAGTTATACATTTTAAAAACATTAAAATACATTCATAACAGATTTCACAACATATTTAGTGTTTACCTGGGACGGATGCAGGGTTGGGGTTTACCTGGGACGGATGCAGGGTTGGGGTTTACCTGGGACGGATGCAGGGTTGGGGTTTACCTGGGACGGATGCAGGGTTGGGGTTTACCTGGGACGGATGCAGGGTTGGGGTTTACCTGGGACGTATGCAGGGTTGGGGTTTACCTGGGACGGATGCAGGGTTGGGGTTTACCTGGGACGGCTGCAAGGTTGGGGTTTACCTGGGACGGATGTAGGGTTGGGGTCAATTTGAATTTAAGTTAGTCAGTTCAAGAAGTAAACTGAAATTCCTATTCAATAATTGAAAATATTTCATTTATTAGTCAAGATTTCTCTACAAAACTGAAAAGGAGATATTTATACTGAACATAAATATAAATGCAACATGCAACAATTTCAAAGATTTTACTGAGTTACAGTTACAGTTGTGGTCCTCTGTAGCTCAATTGGTAGATCACGGCGCTTGTAACGCCAGGGTAGTGGGTTCGATCCCCGGGACGACCCATACGTAAAAATGTATGCACACATGACTGTAAGTCGCTTTGGATAAAAGTATCTGCTAAATGGCATATTATTATTATTATTATATAAAAAATCAGTCAATTGAAATAAATAAATTAAGCCCTAATCTAGGGACTTCACGTGACTGGGATTACAGCTACAGTGGGGAAAAAAAGTATTTAGTCAGCCACCAATTGTGCAAGTTCTCCCACTTAAAAAGATGAGAGAGGCCTGTAATTTTCATCATAGGTACACGTCAACTATGACAGACAAATTGAGAGAAAAAAATCCAGAAAATCACATTGTAGGATTTTTAATGAATTTATTTGCAAATTATGGTGGAAAATAAGTATTTGGTCACCTACAAACAAGCAAGATTTCTGGCTCTCACAGACCTGTAACTTCTTCTTTAAGAGGCTCCTCTGTCCTCCACTCGTTACCTGTATTGAATGGCACCTGTTTGAACTTGTTATCAGTATAAAAGACACCTGTCCACAACCTCAAACAGTCACACTCCAAACTCCACTATGGCCAAGACCAAAGAGCTGTCAAAGGACACCAGAAACAAAATTGTAGACCTGCACCAGGCTGGGAAGACTGAATCTGCAATAGGTAAGCAGCTTGGTTTGAAGAAATCAACTGTGGGAGCAATTATTAGGAAATGGAAGACATACAAGACCACTGATAATCTCCCTCGATCTGGGGCTCCACGCAAGATCTCACCCCGTGGGGTCAAAATGATCACAAGAACGGTGAGCAAAAATCCCAGAACCACACGGGGGGACCTAGTGAATGACCTGCAGAGAGCTGGGACCAAAGTAACAAAGCCTACCATCAGTAACACACTACGCCGCCAGGGACTCAAATCCTTCAGTGCCAGACGTGTCCCCCTGCTTAAGCCAGTACATGTCCAGGCCCGTCTGAAGTTTGCTAGAGTGCATTTGGATGATCCAGAAGAAGATTGGGAGAATGTCAGATGAAACCAAAATATAACTTTTGGGTAAAAACTCAACTCGTCGTGTTTGGAGGACAAAGAATGCTGAGTTGCATCCAAAGAACACCATACCTACTGTGAAGCATGGGGGTGGAAACATCATGCTTTGGGGCTGTTTTTCTGCAAAGGGACCAGGACGACTGATCCGTGTAAAGGAAAGAATGAATGGGGCCATGTATCGTGAGATTTTGAGTGAAAACCTCCTTCCATCAGCAAGGGCATTGAAGATGAAACGTGGCTGGGTCTTTCAGCATGACAATGATCCCAAACACACCTCCCGGGCAACGAAGGAGTGACTTCGTAAGAAGCATTTCAAGGTCCTGGAGTGGCCTAGCCAGTCTCCAGATCTCAACCCCATAGAAAATCTTTGGAGGGAGTTGAAAGTCCGTGTTGCCCAGCGACAGCCCCAAAACATCACTGCTCTAGAGGAGATCTGCATGGAGGAATGGGCCAAAATACCAGCAACAGTGTGTGAAAACCTTGTGAAGACTTACAGAAAACGTTTGACCTGTGTCATTGCCAACAAAGGGTATATAACAAAGTATTGAGAAACTTTTGTTATTGACCAAATACTTATTTTCCACCATAATTTGCAAATAAATTCATTAAAAATTCCTACAATGTGATTTTCTGGATTTTTTTTCTCATTTTGTCTGTCATAGTTGACGTGTACCTATGATGAAAATTACAGGCCTCTCATCTTTTTAAGTGGGAGAACTTGCACAATTGGTGGCTGACTAAATACTTTTTTTCCCCACTGTATGTATCTGTTGGTCACAGATGGTAGGGGCGTGGATCAGAAAACCAGTCAGTATCTGGTGTGACCACCTTTTGCCTCATACAGCGCGACACATCTCCTTCGCATAGAGTTGATCAGGCTGTTGATTGTGGCCTGTGGAATGTTGTCCCACTCCTCTTCAATGAATGTGCGAAGTTGCTGTATATTGGCGGGAACTGGAACATGCTGTCGTACACATCGATCCAGAGCATCCCAAACATGCTCAATGGGTGACATGTCTGGCGAGTATGCAGGCCATGGAAGAATTGGGACATTTTCAGCTTCCAGGAATTGTGTACAGATCCTTGCGACATGGAGCCGTGCATTATCATGCTGAAATATGAGGTGATGGCGGTGGATGAATGGCACGACAATCGGCCTCAGGATCTCGTCAAGGTATCTCTGTGTATTCATATTGCCATCGATATAATGCAATTGTGTTCATTGTCCGTAACTTCTGCCTGCCTGCCCATACCATAACCTCACCACCACCATTTTCATTTTAGTCATTTAGCAGACGCTCTTATCCAGAGCGACTTACAGTTAGTTAGTGAATACATTTATTTTTATTTTTTTATACTGGCCCCCCGTGGGAAACGAACCCACAACCCTGGCGTTGCAAACGCCATGCTCTATCAACTGAGCTACATCCCTGCCGGCCATTCCCTCCCCTACCCTGGACGACGCTGGGCCAATTGTGCGGCGCCCATGAGTCTCCCGGTCGCGGCCGGCCGCGACAGAGCCTGGATTCGAACCAGGATCTCTAGTGGCACAGTTAGCACTGCGATGCAGTGCCTTAGACCACTGTGCCACTCGGGAGACACCATGGGGCACTCTGTTCACAACGTTGACATCAGCAAACTGCTCACCCACACAACGCCATACACGTGGTCTGCGGTTGTGAGGCCGGTTGGACGTACTGCCATTTTTCCAAAAATGACTTATGGTAGAGAAATTTAAATTAAATTATCTGGCAAAAGCTCTGGTTGACATTCCTGCAGTCAGCATGCCAATTGCACGCTCCCTCAAAACTTGAGACATCTGTTGCATTGTGTGAACAAATTGCACATTTTAAAGTGACCTTTTATTGTCCCCAGCACAATGTGCACCTGTGTAATGATCATGCTGTTTAATCAGCTTCTTGATATGCCACACCTGTCAGGTGGATGGATTATCTTGGCAAAGGAGAAATGCTCACTAACAGGGATGTAAAGAAATGTGTGCACATAATTTGAGAGAAATAAACCTTTTGTGCGTATGGAACATTTCTGGGATCTTTTTATTTCAGCTCATGAAACATGGGACCAACACTTTACATGTTGCGTTCATATTTTTGTTCAGTGTATTTTGATACATTTACATTTTCTTCCCCGAATCACTTCCTGAATTGAGTGACTTCAATTAGAATTGACCCCAACCCTGGACAGAAGGAATGACCACTATAGCCTGGTCACAGCTGGGTTGTATTCACTAGGAACCAAAGGGAAGCAAATGGGACGAAACAGGAATGGACCTACCTGAATTTGTCCTATAAGAAACTCTCCTTTTCATTACAAAACTAAAAATATTTGCAAAATGTTTTTGTTTACGGTTTGCACTAAATGAATACACCTCTGCTCTCACCATTGTCGAGTAGAGCATTCAGTCTGAATTGACCATGCTATGAAAAGTAGAGCGTACAGACTGGAATGTGGTGGTGGCTGAGGCAGAGTCGTTGGACTAGAAATTACATTGCTAGAGATTAGAGTGTTGCCAAGAGCCTGTTCTTCAAATGTCTGTTTGCTAGTTGAGACGTGTCGTAATTTGCTATGTTTTGCCTCGGATCTCCCCCCCCCCCCCCCCCATGTTCAGCACAAAAATGTGGAGCCAGTGCTGATGGCTTACGACAGGCCCTCCCCGAAGTTCCTCTCTTTCCTGGAGAAGCATTACTGTCTGAAAAACAGTGTACCTCAGGTATGATATGAGGGCGGTCTCTCCTGTGATTGTGCCACCAGTGCTTTTGTATTCCTCAACACTGTATCGTCACTCTCTGGTAAATGATTATACAGGCCTAACAGTACAACCTAAGATAATGAAAATAGATATGAACATTTCATAAATGGACTGTTTCAGACTGAGATAAGACATGCGGTGAAGGGGGTTATGGGCTAATTATAGAAAAGACTAAAGAGAATGGGCTGCCATTTGGGACACCGCCTACAGGATGAGTCACTTCCTGTTTGTGACTACACCACAGTGTGTCTTCCTCCTGACTGAGATAACCTCCAAAGCCTTACTCATCAGGCTGGGCCCTAGGGTTAATGATTCTGTTAAACAGACTAGCTCTCATCAGGCTGGGCCCTAGGGTTAATGATTCTGTTAAACAGACTAGCTCTCATCAGGCTGGGCCCTAGGGTTAATGATTCTGTTAAACAGACTAGCTCTCATCAGGCTGGGCCCTAAGGTTAATGATTCTGTTAAACAGACTAGCTCTCATCAGGCTGGGCCCTAGGGTTAATGATTCTGATAAACAGACTAGCTCTCATCAGGCTGGGCCCTAGGGTTAATGATTCTGTTAAACAGACTAGCTCTCATCAGGCTGGGCCCTAGGGTTAATGATTCTGTTAAACAGACTAGCTCTCATCAGGCTGGGCCCAAGGGTTAATGATTCTGATAAACAGACTAGCTCTCATCAGGCTGGGCCACTACGGTTAATGATTCTGTTAAACAGACTAGCTCTCATCAGGCTGGGCCCAAGGGTTAATGATTCTGTTAAACAGACTAGCTCTCATCAGGCTGGGCCCTAGGGTTAATGATTCTGTTAAACAGACTAGCTCTCATCAGGCTGGGCCACTACGGTTAATGATTCTGTTAAACAGACTAGCTCTCATCAGGCTGGGCCCTACGGTTAATGATTCTGTTAAACAGACTAGCTCTCATCAGGTTGGGCCCTAGGGTTAATGATTCTGTTAAACAGACTAGCTCTCATCAGGCTGGGCCCTACGGTTAATGATTCTGTTAAACTGACTAGCTCTCATCAGGTTGGGCCACTACGGTTAATGATTCTGTTAAACAGACTAGCTCTCATCAGGCTGGGCCCTAGGGTTAATGATTCTGTTAAACAGACTAGCTACATGACCTGGATATAATTTTGCTCCATGGGCGCGGTCATCTATCATCTACCTAGAGCGGATTATTAATATGTTTTTCAGTGTCACCTCCCCCCCTCCCCTCTCCCCTCCCTCCCTCCCTCCCTCCCCACACTTGTTTCTCTCTCCCTTCCCCTGTCCACTTGTCTCCCCTTCTCTCTCTAGGTCAATAACTTTGTGGTGTTTGACGGTTTCTTCGCCAACAGATCAGGTAATATTCCATCTCTGTGCCTGGCTATCTCTTCATTAATTCTGTGTTATTTTGGATGAGTAGTGTTGTGCAAACTGTCTGAGTCCCAAACGGCTCCCTTTTCTCTATATAGCTCACTACTGTTGATCAGAGCCCTATGGGTCCTGGTTAACAGTAGTGCACTAAATAGGGAAAAGAGCACCAGTTGGGACACAGACAGTTGCGCAACACTACTCATCCGAAATAACACCACTACTCTGGTGCAGTCAGCGTTGGCTTCCTGCCTGTGGTGGTGTGGTGACTGGTAATAGGGGCAGGGTTTGTGCTAGCACGGGTGTCCACACCCTCACAAGTGCTTGCTAGTGTTCACGCCTAATGCAGACTGGGCTGTCTTTCTGTTGCCCTGCTAAAACAGACATCCTAATGTTTGCAGCTGGGGGTTTTAAATAGCTAGATGGCTAGATGTTACGTCATCCTGTCAATGCATGTATTTGGCCTTAAACCACTCAAAGGTGTCGTACGAAACCCAAATCTGTAGAGGCATCTTTGTTTTGATGTGATAAAACTGTCTGTAGCAGAAATGTTGTACACTGTGTTCTGTCTCCAGTAACATGCCTGTGTGCACTCCATAGTATGAGATAAGCTAAAGTGCTACTTTTCTGAAGTAATATATTGTAATTTTTTACATTTTCGTTAAACGAACAAAAGTAGGCTACAAAAAAAAATCCCAATGACCCATTTGCACCCTCCATTATATTGGACATTTTTCGAGAGTCACTAACCCTGGAAAGTGCTGTTCTGTGAAGTGCACTACATTTGTTCTTATTCCGTTTTTCCAAACGATGCTTTTGTTTCACCAAACTTTCCCAGGCTCACCTCCTTCTCCTCTGCAGGATCAGAGAATGTACGGCTTGTTGTAAGGAACTCTATCTTTATTTTATTTTAATTTCTTCACTTTATTTTCGTTTAGCTGCACTTATAACTTTGTTGATAAATGTTATAATCTAATAATATAATATATATATATAGAGATTATAATATATATATTATATCGTATAGATATATATAGTATATCTAGTTATATATATATATCTATATATAGTATATAGTAATTATATATATCTATATATTAATAATATATATATATAGATATATAAGTATAGTTATATGTATTATATATATCTGTTTATTATATATATATTATAGTTATATTGGAATATATATATAGTATATATTCTAGTCTATATTAGTAATAGATATATTAGCTATTATATGTCTAGATATTGTATATTTAATATAATATATCTAGTATCTTATATATATCGATATATTATCTTAGTTCTATATTGTCTATATCTATATATTATTATACTTATTTATATATTTGTTATATATTATATATACTTATATATTCTTTCTATATATATCATTATATATATCTATCTCTCTTATTCATATTGTAAATATCATATATATCTATTGTATATATACTATTCTTCTCTCTCTCTGCTCTATATTGTCTATATCTCTCTCTCTATCTATTCTCTTCTCTTTTCATCTCTCATCTCTTATGTCCTATATCTATCTATCTCCTCTACTCTCTATCTATATACTTCTTCCTATATTGTCCATCTATCTCTTACTCTATCTCTCTTTGCTCTCTCTTATCTGTTATTCTCGTCTTCTTATTGTCTCTGCTCTCATCTCTCTCGTCTCTGTCTCTCCTCTCTTCTCTCTCTCTCTTCTCTTCTTTACTGATCTCTATCTCTACGTCTCTCGCTCGTCTCTTCTTGTATTTCTTCTCTTCTCCTCTCTGTCTCCTCCTATCCGTCTTCTCGCTCTCGTTCTCTCTTCTCGTTTCTCTCTTACACTACTGCTCTCCCGATGGGCGTATGACAATTACATTATATCTGACTTATCTGTAGATATATGATATGTATTGGACTAGTCTACGTACAGTGCTATGTTCTCCTACTTCTCGTATCACATCCTCATGTTCAGGTCCTCTTCCGTCTTACTGTATAATACCTGCTTGTAGTCCCACTGTCCGGCATTATGACACATATGACAAGTAGATTGACTATGTCTTGATAATGTTCAGTTGGGAGAGGTCTCCCACCTTAACAGGCTCAGGTTAACCCCAAATTCAGTAATACACCACACTTACAAGTTCCGGCGCTTCTAAATTATGTAATAAAATTTAAAGTTGTAGTATTACCAGTAAAGGTTTAGGCAGTAGGTTTTGTTTTTATGAAGAGGCTTAGCACGTTTGTATAGTGGTTTCCCATAATTTCCCCGGCCGCCGTAGGGGGCCAAAAATTCCCCCCTCACTCCATAATGTTTTGGGCAGGCTTTCCTAAGTTAGGTGCATAGGGTGATAATGTTTAGGCCCGTGGGTGCCAAAATTTCAGGGTGGGGTGTTGTTTTAAAAGGTGGTAGGGGAAAAATTTAGGCCCTCCAAATCCCCGGGCACTGCCATAAAGTTTCCCCGGGGCCGAGGGGCCCCCAATGTTTCCCAGGCCTGCCGTGGGTGCATAATGTTTCCAAGGGGCCCGCCGTAGGGCTGCCATAATGTTTCCCAGGCTGCCGTAGGGCTGCCATAATGTTTCCCAGGCCTGCCGTAGGGCTGCCATAATGTTTCCCAGGCCTGCCGTAGGGCTGCCATAATGTTTCCCAGGCCTGCCGTAGGGCTGCCATAATGTTTCCCAGGCTGCCTTAGGGCCCTGCATAATGTTTCCCAGGCCGCCGTAGGGCTGCCATAATGTTTCCCAGGCCTGCCGTAGGGCTGCACATAATGTTTCCCCAGGCCTGCCCGTAGGGCTGCCATAATGTTTCCCAGGCCCTGCCGTAGGGGCTGCCAATTAATGTTTCCCAGGCCTGCCATAATGTTTCCCAGGCCTGCCATAATGTTTCCCAGGCCTGCCGTAGGGCTGCCATAATGTTTCCCAGGCCTGCCATAATGTTTCCCAGGCCCTGCCATAATGTTTTCCCCTGTGCTGACTGGGTTCTCTTCAACAGCGGCCCAGTTGAAAAAGGTTCCCCCTAAAAAAGCTGGACGGAGAGATCAAGCCCTACTCACTAACAGAGAGAGAGGGTGAGCCACCGTTGAACTTGGACAGAACACATGGAGGCTAACTCCTAATGGGCCAGTTTCCCGGACCCAGATTAAGGGTAGTCCTGGATTAAACACATTTAATGGAGATTCTTCATTGGAAATGCTTCTTAGCCCAGGACTAGGCTTAATTTGTGTCTGGGAAACCAGCTCATGTACAGTACATCATAAACTGTAGCTGGAATATGTCAGCATTACATAATTTACATTGTACTAAAATACACAGTTAAGACATTGTATGACAGCCCGATGAGGATACATAATATTTTCTCTGGACTAAACATCATTAGTTGTAGGGATATTTCCCACTTCATTGCAGCCATTGTAAACAGATTGCTGTAGGGCAGTTGGCATTCAGCTGCATTTGTGTGCCATCTATTCTGCCTGGTTAGGTCAGTTTAGTCTGAAAGACACTGAGCTATTCACTAGGATAAGCATTCAGGAGCAGCTTGGTGAACATTAGGATGTTGCAACTGACAGTTATGGTCAAATGTAACATAGGACCTCTTGTGTCCAGTCCAGTCAAGTCTCTGTGCAGTTGCTTGATTAATCTCCTTGTGTGAATGTAGTTTTGAGTTAATGTCCACTTTATGAATACTTAACAAAACCTCTGTTAGTGCAGTGATGATGCACTGTTGACTCAGCCTGTATTAGATTCTGAGTAATGCAATGATCCCCTATTTGGCAGTCATCTCTCTGACTCCCCCTCACCCCCTCTCATGGTATTGTCTCCCCCCTCTCCTCTCCCTCATGGTATTGTCTCCCCCCTCTCCCCCCTCATGGTATTGTCTCCCCCCTCTCCTCTCCCTCATGGTATTGTCTCCCCCCTCTCATGGTATTGTCTCCCCCTCTCATGGTATTGTCTCCCCCCTCTCCCCCCTCATGGTATTGTCTCCCCCCTCTCCCCCCTCATGGTATTGTCTCCCCCCTCTCCCCCCTCATGGTATTGTCTCCCCCCTCCAGCTGTGCGAGAGGAGCAGAGGGCTCTCCCCTACCCGTTGTCGGTATCCTCCCCGTGCTCCCCAAGCAGGGCCCGCCAGCGCCCCGACCCGACCCTGGCCCCAGCCCTGGGGGCTACAGGGGCCCGACCCCCGACCCCCGACCCCCCACTCATCGACAGCCTCAACTACAGGGCAAAACGCACCAGGTATGGTATTCCTGGAAAAACAGTCAAACCAAAATGCCCAGGTTTTTGCAGGAGTAATCTCGGATGGAGTAATTCCTGACTTCCAGAATCAGGAGGGACTAAGTCATTTTGGGAAGGTTGTCAGCATTTATTTATTTTTTACCCTAGGTACTAATACTACTTCACTCCATATGAACTATGTAACCTAATCCAGTATTGTGAGAGAGTGTGTACTGCAGTAGATCTGAGGGCCTGTCTGCCAGGTTTTGAAGGCTTGGCCGGGGGGGACAGCATTCCTTTCATTAAGAGTATTGTTTATACAAACAGCCAGCCTCGGGGCACTGCGGCAGCATCCCAAATGGTACACTATTCCCTTCGTAGTGCACTACTTTAGACCAGGAAATCACAGGGCTCTGGTCAAAAAGTAGTGCACTATATAGGGAATTAGGGTGCCATTTAGGAGCGTACACAGCCCCTGTGTAAAGTGCTTTCTCTCTGATTCCAAGCCTCCTTCGCTCCTGCTCTCTCTCTCTCTCCCACCTAATTGTCCTGTGTGACCAGCACTGCTCTCTTTGTGGCCTCTCTTTCTAAACACTGTTCTCTTTCATTCTTTCTCTACTGTTCTCTACTGTCTGTGTACATTGGAAACCCACCCCCCCCCCCTTTTATCCAATTTGACCACTCACAAATGCAATCATCCCATCCTCCAATCCTCCTCCTTTCTGACGTCCATTTCATCATCCTGTCTCTGCCTCTGGCTCCTCTCCGTCCTAACATGAGCACAGTTCCCTTAACCGATGACAGCTCAGCTTCCATTGACCACCCTGACGCCTCCCACCACTGTTTCCTTCTTTTAAAGGAAGGGCAGTGGTTTTTAGCCTGTTAGAGAGAAGGCTGGAGAACTGGGATGCTAAGTGTGCACTGGCACACTTTCCGTCATGGATTTAACACTGCCCCAGGCCTGCCCTAGGTGAACCAGGTTCGTGTTGATTGCATTCGTTTTGGAACCGGGCTGCCTCCCGGGGGTGAGCCAGGTCAAAACAAATGTATTTGTCCCATGCGCCGAATACAACAGGTGTAGACTTTATCGTGAAATGCTTACTTATGAGCTCTTTCCCAACAATGCAGAGTTAAAAAGTACAAAACATTTATATAAATAGTAACACAATAAAAAATAAAATAATGAGGCTATATACAAGGAGTACCGTTACTGAGTCAATGTGCAGGGGTACAAGGTAGTTGAGGTAATATGTACAGTACCAGTCAAAAGTTTCTTTATTTTTACTATTTTCTACAATTGTAGAATAATAGTGAAGACAACAAAACTATGAAATAACACGTATGGAATCATGTAGTAACCAAAAAAGTGTTAAACAAATGAAATTATATTTTATATTTTAGATTCTTCAAATAGCCATCCTTTGCCTTGATGACTTCTTTCAACACTCTTGGCATTCTCTCAACCAGCTTCACCTGGAATTCTTTTCCAACAGTCTTGAAGGTGTTCCCACATATGCTGAGCACTTGTTGGCTGCTTTTCCTTCACTCTGCGGTCCGACTCATCCCAAACCATCTCAATTGGGTTGAGGTCAGGAGATTGTGGAGGCCAGGTCATCTGATGCAGCACTCCATCCTTCTTGGTAAAATAGCCCTTACACAGCCTGGAGGTGTGTTGGGTCATTGTCCTGTTGAAAAACAAATGATAGTCCCACTAAGCCCAAACCAGATGGGATGGCGTATCGCTGCAGAATGCTGTGGTAGCCATGCTGGTTAAGTGTGCCTTGAATTCTAAATAAATCACAGACAGTGTCACCAGCAAAGCACCATAACACCTCCTCCTCCATGCTTTACGGTGGGAAATACACATGCGGAGATCATCCGTTCACCCACACCGCGTCTCACAAAGACACGGCGGTTGGAACCAAAAATCTCAAATTTGGACTCCAGACCAAAGGACATATTTCCACCGGTCTAATGTCCATTGCTTGTGTTTCTTAGCCCAAGCAAGTCTCTTCTTCTTATTGGTGTCCTTTAGTAGTGGTTTCTTTGCAGCAATTCGACCATGAAGGCCTGATTCACGCAGTCTCCTCTGAACAGTTGATGTTGAGATGTGTCTGTTATTTGAACTCTGTGAAGCATTTATTTGGGCTGCAATTTCTGAGGCTGGTAACTAATGAACTTATCCTCTGCAGCAGAGGTAACTCTGGGTCTTCCTTTCCTGTGGCGGTCCTCATGAGAGCCAGTTTCATCATAGAGCTTGATGGTTTTTGCGACTGCACCGAATAGGGCTATTTTCTGTATACCCGCCATACCTTGTCACAACACAACTGATTGGCTCAAACACATTAAGAAGGAAAGAAATTCAACAAATGAACTTTTAAGAAGGCACACCTGTTAATTGAAATGCATTCCAGGTGACTATCTCATGAAGCTGGTTGAGAGAATGCCAAGAGTGTGCAAAGCTGTCATCAAGGCAAAGGGTGGCTAGTTGAAGAATCTAAAATATTAAATATATTTTGATTTGTTTAACACTTTTTGGGTTACTACATGATTCCATATGTGTTATTTCATAGTTTTGATGTCTTCACTATTATTCTACAATGTTGAAAATAGTAAAAATTAAGAAAAACCCTTGAATGAGTAGATGTGTCCAAACTTTTGACTGGTAGTGTACAAGTAGGTAGGGGTAAAAGTGACTAGGCAATCAGAATAGATAATAAACAGAGTAGAAGCAGCATGTGAAGAGTGGGAAAGAGTGTCTGTGTGAGTGTATGTGGCATCAATATGCGTGTGTGTGTGTGTGTTGGAGTGTCAGTGTAGTATGTGTGTGTGTGTGTGTGTGTGTTGGAGTGTCAGTGTAGTATGTGTGTGTGTGTGTGTGTGTGTGTGTGTGTGTGTGTGTGTGTTGGAGTGTCAGTGTAGTATGTGTGTGTGTGTGTGTGTGTGTGTGTGTGTGGGTAGAGTGCAGTGTAGTATGTGTGAGTGTGTGTTTGAGTGGGTAGAGTGCAGTGAGTGTGCGTCGTTTTGGCAGATGGCGACGTTATCTAAAAACAAAACAAAATGCCGTAGGTGAAGCACGTGTAGTAATGAATAGGATTCTGTGTTTTCACATTGCAAAAGTGATCGCTTTAAATAAACTTTATCTGCCTTCCCAATGAAAACTAGTTTGAAAATGTGAACATATATTTGATGGAAACGAGCTGCTGTATGTTTTTGCACCATCCACCATGCTGCCTTCTTGACAACATGACCGAGCCGCAGATTACTGTTCGTTGGAGAAGGTCACCTCTTTGTCCGTTCAAGTCACGGGCTATAGACTGGTGCACTTAATCGAACTCCCTCAATGGTGGGAACTTACCCCTGCCCGATGTTTACACATTTACATTGACATTTTTAGTCATTTTAGCAGACGCTCTTATCCAGAGCGACTTACAGTTAGTGAGTGCATACATTTTTCATACACCAATCCAAGGCTTTTGGATCCGTGATGGGAAGTGTTTAAGTGCACACTTAGAGAGAAGGGTGGAGAATCAGGAGGGAACCTAGCTGTCGTCTGTCTGTCAAGGCAAGGGAGCTTAGTATTATTTCAATGATTCATTTACTAGGAAACAGAGAAGAAGAAGAAGAAGGAACATGGCTCCCTATGTCAGTTAGAACTTTTTCAGCCTTTCCTAGTGTGCTGGTCGTCCCATTGAGGGAATTATGATGCTGCCTGTAACTTTTACCTGCCGTTTTCTAGAAGAAGGCATTAAAACGATCTCCAACAAAACTGGAAAAGTGAGATTGCTTTCTGTTCCCCTGGTACCCCGTTTAGAGCTTGTTTTACCTTTAACTACAATTCTCTTTCACATGTACTCTCATTAAGTGGCTACTAAAATAATATTTGGATGACTTTTGGAGGCATTTTCATGTTTATTAACATGGAGTTCGCAAGTTTGTCATAACAACATGACGTCAACAAGAAACAATGCTTAGAATTTGATATTGAGCTAAGAAGGCTTTTTCATAATCCACAACTTCAGTGGTTCTTAAACTTGGGGTTGGGACCCCATGTGGGTTCCCCTGAAATTGAAATGGGGTCCCCTGAGAAAATCTGTAATCTTATCAAACAAATGGAAAACTTTGGGAACCCCAGCCCTACTTGCACAATTCTCACAGTCTTCAGGTCTTTCTGTTGGCATTGCCTTCACTTCATATCACAATCATGTTTTTTTGTTTTCAGTTATTGTTTGTATGATTTGTCAAGCATTCAGTTTTGCCATTGTTTGCTAATTTTGTTTTAATTGAGTGTTTTTCTTCTGTGGAATTCTCTTTGCTGTTTCCTTCACTTTTTCCTCTGCACACACTTGTCTTTTTCCCCTTTCTGTACTTTCCTACGTTCTGTCTCCTTCGCTCCCTATTCATTTCCCCTCCCTCTTTCTTCCACTATCTCTCGTTTTCTCTGTCCTGCTCTTGTTTGTCCTCTATCTACCATTCCCTGGATCTTCCTACCCTATCTACCTTCCCTGGCCCTTCCTACCCTCTCTACCTTCCCTGGCCCTTCCTACCCTCTCTACCTTCCCTGGCTCTTCCTACCCTCTCTACCTTCCCTGGCTCTTCCTACCCTCTCTACCTTCCCTGGCCCTTCCTACCCTCTCTACCTTCCCTGGCTCTTCCTACCCTCTCTACCTTCCCTGGCCCTTCCTACCCTCTCTACCTTCCCTGGCTCTTCCTACCCTCTCTACCTTCCCTGGCTCTTCCTACCCTCTCTACCTTCCCTGGCTCCTCCTACCCTCTCTACCTTCCCTGGCTCTTCCGACCCTCTCTACCTTCCCTGGCTCTTCCTACCCTCTCTACCGTCCCTGGCTCTTCCTACCCTCTCTACCTTCCCTGGCCCTTCCTACCCTCTCTACCTTCCCTGGCCCTTCCTACCCTCTCTACCTTCCCTGGCCCTTCCTACCCTCTCTACCTTCCCTGGCCCTTCCTACCCTCTCTACCTTCCCTGGCTCTTCCTACCCTCTCTACCTTCCCTGGCCCTTCCTACCCTCTCTACCTTCTCTGGCTCTTCCTACCCTCTCTACCTTCCCTGGCTCTTCCTATCCTCTCTACATGCCCTGCTCCATTGACGTGGTAGCCAACAGGGCCTAGTTGCCAGGGGCAACCTCTACAGTCGCCACATCAACACCCGGGGCTTTGGGCTATTGTTGGAGACACAGCAGAACACCTTCAAACTGCCAGGTAAACAGATCTGATTGGCTATGGGACATGTGTAGTACACCGTAACAACGCACCACTAACTATGGATGTCTCCCAAATGGCACCCTATTCCCTCTATAGTGCACTACTTTTGCCCATAGCCTTATGGGCCTTTTTGGGCATATTTCCTATTTAGTGCGCTACTTTAGACAAGGCCATGGTTAAAAGTAGGGTGCCATTTAGTACGTAGACTACTTTACCCAGTGTGCCCAGGAATGTACTGTGTTGTCTTGTGACTGACCTCTGACCTGTTAGTGCTGTGTGCCTCCTCAGGTTTGAGACCTAGTATTAAGAGACAGAGAGACTGACACAGGGGGACAGACAGACCCACTGGGACACACAGACAGGTTTGCCCTCACATAGACATACTCAGGAAATATCTCACAGACTGTATATCATAAATGCATGTAGGGATTGGAAAGGCATTGAATAGTGGGCGGCTACAAATGAAAGCAAGAAAAATAAGCTTGAATTACAGTGGATCTGTGTTTGACTCTGACCTACATGTTCTTCTCTCCAGCACACAAACGAGTCCCCTTCCCTCTTTACACTCTCCGTTTCTCATCCACTCATCCCCTCATCTTACCTCTCATTATATGCCTTCTCTCTCTCTCTCTCTCCATCCCTCCCTGTCCAGGTCCCTGCCTATCTCTCTCCCACCTCTGCCCCTATCCAGGAAGGAGTCGCTCCGCGCCCAGACCACTACGATGACCACCAGAGAACCAGACAAACAGGCTGAGATGGAGACCAGGGTGCTGGAGAAGGGGCTCCGGATGGGGGTAGGGGGAGAGCCCTGGCCCCTGGAGGGGGTTGAGAGGGACAGGGGGAGAGGAGGGTGGTCGTGGACGGTGGGAGAGAGCTGCTGTAACACAGCTCAGTGGATCAGGCAGAAGCAGGAGTATAGGAGCACCAGACCCTGGTGACAAACATGGATAGACAGACTGACTGACTGACTGACTGACTGATGGATAGGAAGCAGGAGATGGAAGACAGACAGACTGACTGACTGACAGACGGACAGACAAGAAGCAGGAGATGGAAGACAAACAGACTGACTGACGGGCGGATAAGAAGCAGGAGATGGAAGACAGACAGACTGACTGACTGACGGACGGATGGATAAGAAGCAGGAAGTAGAGAGAGGAGAAAGAAACCGATTTTAATAGGGATTTAGAGAAATGGAGTGATAAAAGAAGACAGCCAATCCCTTCCTCCCGCTCCTGATCACTGATTAGTGGTGCTATGGTTACTAGACTGAAGAAGTGAGGGGGTTGGTTGCTATGCAACAATAGTCAGCCCAGATGTCACATGATGCGTCCAAAAGGGCATCCTATTGCCCTGGTCAAAAGTTTATAGGGAATATGGTGCCATTTGGGATGCAGCCACAGTCTGAGGGTGTAGAATGGTGGGTTACAGTACAAGCAACAGAATGTAGCGGTGAATACTGAATACTAGTCCGTAGGTTGGTGTTGGTCACGAGAACTAAAGCTTTAGAGACCTACTAAATCTGCCATGTGGACAAGCAATTATTAACTTGAAGCAAAGGCAATGGAGCCATGCTCGAAATTCCATTAGACTTGAGTTGACCTGTTTTATGCACATTTTATACTACTTTCATTTATTTTGTTGTGATTTTTTTTATATGATGGAAAAGTTTTATGCTATGAATGTCAAGATGTTTTCTATGTAGAAATAAATTGCCTACACTGATCACAGAAACGGACTTGTCCCTAATACTGTTGGAATAGCATTACTTGTTATGTCTGTGTTATTTACCCATGTATTGATAACAGATTACATTTGATGACCTACATGTTGATGTAGTGCGTGCGATGTGTTACCCTCATGTCCCATCTATACCCTTGAACCTCCTGCACTGCTCTCTACAGGCTAAATCCGGTACTGCAGTATCACTAGTACTCTACAGGCAGTCAGTACAAGACAGGGTTGAGTTCATTAGGCACCAAAAACTGAAGACAATTTATTTAAAATGGGGTGGAACAACTTGGATTTGTCCAAAAAGAAATGGCAATTTTTGTTTTGTTTCAAAACATTTTGCTATATTGTGCTCTAATGAACACAACCCTGCTTCCCCACACACACAGATATCATCCCAAAAACATTGGTGTCCTGATTATATGTTAGACATTCACTACTAATGCTGCGTTCACTTTTAGTCAGAACTAGGAAACTCTGACACTTCCGACTTGCTAACTGGTTGTAGTTATACACATGCCGGTTTCAACCAGTTAGCAAGTCGGACATTTCAGAATTTCCTAGTTTCGACTAGTACGTGAATGCGGCATTAGTATCATCATCAAGCTACAATGTCAGAAGCCCCACCTATACTGAACAAAAATATAAATGCAACATGTAAAATGTTGGTCCCATGTTTCATGAGCTGAAATACAAGATCCCAGAAATGTTCCATACGCACAAAAAGCTAATTTCTCTCATTTTGTGAACACATTTGTTTACATCCCTGTTAGTGAGCATTTCTCCTTTGCCAAGATAATCCATCCACCTGACAGGTGTGGCATATCAAGAAGCTGATTAAACAGCATGATCATTACACAGGTGCCCCTTGTTCTGGGGACAGTAAAAGGCCAATCTAAAATGTGCAGTTTTGCCAAACAACACAATGCAACGGATGTCTCAAGTTGAGGGTGTGCATGCAATTGGCATGCTGACTGCAGGAATGTCCACCAGAGCTGTTGCCAGATAGTTGAATGGAATTTCTCTACCATAAAACTCATTCTGATTGGCTGGGCCTGGCTCCTCAATGGGTGGGTCTATGCCCTCCCAGGCCCACCCATGGCAGCACCCCTGCCCTGTCATGTGAAATCCATAGATTTGGGCCTAATGAATTTATTTCAATTGACTGATTTCCTTATATGAACTGTAACTCAGTAAAGTCGTTGAAATTGTTGCATGTTGCGTTTATATTTTGGATCAATATAGTTCTACAATTGATCTTCTTAAAATCAGATTTTAAACCTAACCCAAACATTAACCCTGGGTTTAGGTAGGTTACTTTCTAAATGTAAATCAGTTACAGTTACTAGTTACCTGTACAACATTGTAATCAGTAATGTAATTTCTGGATTACCCAAACTCAGTAAAGTAATGATTACTTTCAGTTATGCTAGCAGATCCCCATAGACTTCCAGTCATTGCGCTAACGCTAGTTAGCATTGGCTCGCAAAACTACCTCGAACTTCCTTCAAACTGGAGACAGAGACATAAAAATGGTATCCACGAGTTCATCTGACTCTGTGGAAGTAGATAAATGGCCTCTGCCCAACTCCTGAAGTATCCCTTTAAGAGGCATTAGAAGAAGACTAAAAGGAATGTGACTAATTGAACGACATCTATTGCAGGATAAATCAGTGTTAGAGTTCAAATAGCTGGCCATAAATGGATGTTGCATTTTACTTTATGGGTTGGTTATGTAGTTTTTTTTTCTAACCCATTGCTTTCTACTACAGATAATAATATGCTTAGGCTTTGTCTTTACATTAAAAACCAAAGTCTGTCAGATTTCTAGTCATTCCAATTAATTGAATATCCCTAGACTTTCAAGAATAGGACTTGGAAATATGGTATAGTTTTACCCTAAATGTTTTACCCGAGCACAACCCCAAAACTAAGGGCTTAATAGCCTACTCTGTTGTTTATCTTGTCATGGAGGACTGATTGAGTTCATTGCTTCGAGTTGAAAAATAAGTGCTGCTCTCTTGGAATGGCATGCTTTGAGCACTAGGAATGGAATGGCATGCTTTGAGCACTAGGCCTGCAGAAAAGTGCAACTTGCATGTGAAAGATGTACGATATGGCTGCATTTGCTATTGGTCTATTGTTTCAGTTTTTTTTTGTTGGTGACACTGATTTCTCGACCATTTGCAGCTGCTTAAGTCTATCAAAAGCGCGCGAGTTTGAGTTTCGAGTGTCCGTTTGGCCTATAAAAACAAGCACATATATCACCACAAATTAGATTGAGCAATAAAAGCCTTCTTAAATTAAACTAGTTTTTATTTTATTATTATTATTATTTTTTTTTTTGTCATTTAGCAGACGCTCTTATCCAGAGCGACTTACAGGAGCAATTAGGGTTAAGTGCCTTGCTCAAGGGCACATCGGCAGATTTCTCACCTAGTCGGCTCGGGGATTAGAACCAGCGACCTTTCGGTTACTGGCACAACGCTCTTAACCACTAAGCTACCTGCGCAATACCATGGTGAAGTTTAGAAGCGAGGAACTCTTGCAACAGCTGCACTATGCAAGCGTATCATTTCACTGGCTGTCCACTGGTCGCAAAAAACAATGATTGATGGGCAGCTTAAACTTCTTAAATTCAACCATTATTGTATTAAAATACACATATACATTTGTCAACAACAACCACCATCCATACGTAGCAAATAGATAAATGACAGAGCAGCAATGATTAACATCAGGTTTCACACCCCTCCACCCCTTGGATAGAATGCATGGCACTGGAGCATATAGGTTATTTCCTTATCATTACTTAGCACTGAGCTCCAGCTTAATGACCAACGACTGCTGTCATGTACACAACATCTACATTTATTGATCTTTAAAAAATAGTCTGACAAACCACATTCAAAACTAGATACAAAGAAATCATACGCTTGAAATAAATGATTATATTATTTGTTTATCTGTTGGATTCTCTTCTGATTGGTGTTTAAAATACAATGGAGCATGAAGTAAAAGGGATTCTCTCTCTCGGTTTCCCCCAATTAAATTAGGCTGTTTTCTAATGCTGTTTAGAACACTGCAGTCACATAAGAACAGCTTCATTTTAGTCATTAGGGTTAAGTGCCTTGCTCAAGGGCACATCGACAGATTTTTCACCTAGTTGGCTCGGGGATTAGAACCTTTCGGTTACTGGCACAACGCTCTTAACCACTAAGCTACCTGCCGCCTATAGCGTCAAACCAACACTAACTTTGTTTGCCCGAGGCCCTACTTGTGTGCACAGTTACTGTAATGTAAGATGGCCTACTTGGAAGCAATACCATTTTTGAATTATCTAGTGACAAATGATCTGTCTTGATATGTTAATAAAACCGTCAGGGATTTTAAGGTGAAATCTTTGAAAGGAATCCCTTTTTCAAAAAGAGTTCCTCGAGGCTATCTGAGGCAATCTTTAAATAGGTTACTTCCTTGTACGGGCCAACCTCCACCACCCTCCTCTACCAATGTGAACTGCTTTGGGTTTCACCTGCATTACACTACATAAGTAAGTCACAAAGTGCTTTATCCTTTTTAACTAGTGCGTTATCTTGCCTGATGTGTTTTTCCTTTGTCCACTCTGTCGGAATTCCATACGTGCTCATTGGACCGTGAGGGACCTATCGGCTACTTAGCTGCTCTGCTACGAGTGACGCCAACAAAAAAACATGATGTTTAATGATTACAAACAATGATATCTGTAGTTTCACGCCACCTCGGGTCACACTCGCTAAGTCATGGGGAAAAAAAAAAAAAAACAGGTCCCTGTCTCGTAACCTCTGTTGATCGCTTGGCAAGCTCCTTCAATCCAAACCCCATCATTTTTTCTCTGCTTTCATTTCCCCAAGCTTCTTCACACCCTGAGCAGAACAGAACCTAACAGAAGATGGGTCGTGTTCATTAGGCACCAAATAAAGAAAAAAAAAACTGACTGAAACAGAGAGGGGACTACCTGGACTTGTCCAATAAGGAACTCTAATTTTCGTTTTCCGTTGCAAAACATTTTTTAAACGTTGTTCTGTTCCATGCCCTACTCATTAACGGGAATGACTAAACCCTAAACACTCTTTAACTCTACATTATGTAACTGCATCTCCTGCAACTGGCCAACCCCATATCCACAACAGACAGGTCTACAACAGACAGGTCTACGACAGACAAGTCTACAAAAGACAGGTCTACGACAGACAGGTCTACAACAGACAGGTCTACAACAGACAGGTCTACGACAGACAGGTCTACGACAGACAGGTCTACGACAGACAGGTCTACGACAGACAGGTCTACGACAGACAGGTCTACAACAGACAGGTCTACGACAGACAGGTCTACAACAGACAGGTCTACGACAGACAGGTCCCAGTTCTCCATCCTTTCCCAGAAGGCACTTGCACACGCCCATCGTGGATTTCAAAAGCACTGGATTGGAGTTTCCTTTCCACCATTGTTAAATCCATGCAAGAGAGTGTGCAAGTGTACACTCTGGGAGAAGGGTGGAGGGTGGAGAGTGGAGAATAGAATACAGCGCGATTGAAATGTAAAAGGTCATTTCCGATTGAGCCATCGTATGCAGCGTTTAACGTGAATGTACTCTCCACTAACGCAGTAACGTTGCCTTTACATTTCAATCGCGCTGTAGTTCTGAACTTCCGCGATACGGATTGAATGGAGCCCTTAGTCTCTAGTCAGCCTGGCCTAGCAGGGTGAGGTAGATGGTGGACTGGAGAAAGCGGGGGTAGCAGTCTGTATCCAGGATGGAGTAGATGCGTTTCTGGGCGTGGGACAGGGAGGTGTGTGATGGGGCCCGTAGGAGCTGTGTGGTTAGTTCTCTGGTCTTACTGTCCAAGTTCACCTGAAAGGGAAAGGGAGAGAGAGGCAGAGTGGGAAAGAGAGAGAGAGAGAGAGAGAGAGAGGGGAGAAAGAAAGAGAGAGAGGGAAAGAGAGAGGTATGGAGAGACGGAGGATGAGAGACAGGGACAGCGAGAGAGAAAGGCATTGGGAAGGAGATGGAGGGAGAGAGAGAGGGAAAGAGGGAGAGGACATGGGGATGGAGGGAGAGAGAGAGAGGGGAGAGACAGTGAAAGAGGGAGAGGACGGGGGATGGGGGGGAGAGAGAGGGGACAGAGAGAGTGAAAGAGGGAGAGGACGGGGGATGGAGGGAGAGAGAGAGGGGGAGAGAGAGTGAAAGAGGGAGAGGACGGGGATGAGGGAGAGAGAGAGGGGACAGAGAGAGTGAAAGAGGGAGAGGACGGGGGATGGGTGAATTAACTGGTTTAACAAACACACCTCCATGCAGGAGGAGGAAGATGACCAGATCATTAAACATGATGAAGAGACGCCCATTTACAGACAGACCAATATAAACAGGCCAGCCCACAGATGGACAGATAGACCGTCAGAAACAGGCCAGCCCACAGATGGACAGATAGACCGTCAGAAACAGGCCAGCCCACAGATGGACAGATAGACCGTCAGAAACAGGCCAGCCCACAGATGGACAGATAGACCGTCAGAAACAGGCCAGCCCACAGATGGACAGATAGACCGTCAGAAACAGGCCAGCCCACAGATGGACAGATAGACCGTCAGAAACAGGCCAGCCCGGCAGGTTAACATATAGACAAAGTCTGTATACCTCTCGCGGCGCCCCCGCCTCAATATATGTGGCAGTGATCTCCTTGGCCCGTCTGTGCAGGCTGAAGTTGTTGGACGAGTTTCTGTACTGCTCACAGGCCAGATAGAACTGCAGATTCTCCTCACTAAACTCTGAGCGAAGGAATGCTCCAAACACGGACACGCCCGCTGGAGAGAGAGAGGGGGAGGGGAAGGTAGAGGTGGAGGAGGGAGGGAGGGGGATGGGTAGAGGTGGAGGAGGGAGGGAGAGAGAGAGAGAGAGGGAGGAGTATTAGGGTTTATGAAGGTACATTTAGGACGTCACTCGAGGGAAGCCGAGGCAGATGGGATGTTCACACACACCATTGGTCAATACACTGACATGCAAACACACACACAGCTTTATTTGTGACTTTTTGGAGTGTAAAAATGTTTCACCATTAAAAATCCTATTTTCCCTAACTCTAACCTGAAAAACCCTAACCCCAAAACCTAACCCTTATGCTTAAAATAGCATTTGAACAAATTCAGGACTTGAAAAAAGTCCTGACATTTCAAAAAGGTTATTGTACCCACACACACTGACATGCAAACACACATTCACACAGAAATATACACAGACTGTAAAGTACTAATCAATCATAGGATATTTTTTCAGTACATTTTCATTATTGCTATCTAAGTCAGTCACACATTCTCTCTCTCTGGTTGCAACATATTTTCGTGCAGACTGAGTGGGGGTGGGGAAACGAATAAGGACAGCAGATTGCTGACACAGTGGTTACAACATGTAATTGTTCACACACCGTGACTGGGACAGACGGGGCAACACATTAACACGTACGTACAAACACACACACACACACGTTTGTTTTACTATCCCTGTGGGGACCAAATAATTGATTCCCATTCAAACTCCTATTTTCCCCTAACTCCTAATGCCAACAGTAACCCTTAACCTAGCCTCGTCGCGAACCAGAAAAACGGGAAGCCTGGGGAAGTTCAATGGCTGAAATCAGCTAAAGAGGGGTCGGCACAAGATGTAAATCAGTGACGTTTCGCAAACACGTCAAATGCTTTGCATGGGCGGAGCTCCAAAGGTGCTCACAGGTTTAGTGCCGTAGGAGCAACAGACTACGATGCTGGCCATATCAATATTTTTATTTTTGACATGTGATATTTGGCTGTAAAGGCTAGCATGAGGGACAAAGCAGTTAGCCACAATGAGGTCAGCTAACCTTGTAAGCTACCTAGGTATAACTAACTAGCTAGCTACTAGCTTGTTCAATTTCTCTCATGATTAGAAAGCCAACAAAATATTTAATAGAAAACCGCATATTATTGACCTGAAAGGTTTCCTGTGTTAGCCCAGTCGCTAGCTTATGCAGGGTCAGTGATACATAGGGCAACCATGTACTGTCTATCTATGGGAACTGCAATCATTCTGCTAGCAACATTGCTAAAATCTATTAAATAAGATGAACCTCATAAAATGTTACCTGTAATGCTCATCTCCTTATTTTAATACTGTATCTAAATTACAAGGGTTGGATTTGCACTACATTTTATTTTATTTTATTTTATATGTCAGCACTTAAAAGCATGTACAAAATCTGGTATATGGTTTGCCTTATAGAGACATTGTCTACTGGTATCGTTTTAAAATGGAGAACGTATAGGTCGTAGGTCAACATGTGAAGAATGTGTGAGTTCTCCGCCACAGATGCCAGATGCACATTAGACCAGTAATGACATCATACCGTAGACCCCTGGCTGCATCGGTGATGCATGCCATATGATAAACTGCAAAATGTATTTCACATCTGACTGACATCCTGAGAGAGAGAGAGAGAGAGAGGCAATCAAATAAAACTGACTTGGAGACCTGACAACTAGACAATGTTCATTTTGAGAATAAAACACAGAAACACAGACACATTACAGACAGAACCCCTTCCCCTCTCACCTGACACTAGTTCATTTTGAATAATAGTTTAACAATTAAAAAACAAGTTTTAAACACTTCACTTCAAAAGAATCTAAACTTCATCACTTCATAAATGTACAAATAAGCTAACTGGTATGTACAGGTTAGACACGTTAGTCTAAACAACAGATCACTGAGTAGTAACCAGGAGGCTATTATGACTAAAGCATCATCTCTCTGTCCTCCTAGATTTCCCCTCCAGGGACTGGAACTAGAGAATCTTTCCATAAAATGTCCTCCCACAAAATGACCTGCCCTGTCCAGTAGTCTACATTCTCCCTTTACAGATAGCTGGAGCTGCAATTTCAGCCTCTTCCATGGCTGTTATCTACAAATGCATTTGGAGACTGTTTTTAAATTTACAATGATTACATCAAGATAGCTATCTAATAGGAAGTTAGCTAGCTGATTACATTTAATTCACTTAGCTAAATAGTGTGTAAAGTTAGCTAGCTAGCCATCTATCTAGTAGTTCGATTGAGTTAGCCTACACAATGGCCTACTGTAGCCAGCTAGCTAGCTAGCTAATAATACATTGTTTTTACGTTAAAAAAATGTATTTGCTTACTTGAATAGGTTCTCCCTCTGCCTCCATTTTTTTGGGTCCTTACAAAAAACAAATTATTGGGCAATCTTCACAATATTTTAGGTGGTAGCGAAACGCAACCAGCAGCCATGTGAAGAGGACGAATGGAAACAAGGAAAAATGTGTTCGTCATCAGAGCGGTTTCAGAACGTGTTGTGAGGTTTGACTTTACCAGCCTAATCGACTTTCAAATTTCAATAAATATAAAATCGCAGACTGTCGGCCACACTTTACAATGTGAAACTAGCGTAGGCAACATCTACCCGGACGGAGAACAATGACGCACATAACACCCAGCAGCCCTTCTTAACCTTAACCATAACTAAATCCTAACCCTAAACCCAATCCCTAACCCTAACTTCTTAAATTCAACCATTATTGTATTAAAATACACATATACATTTGTCAACAACAACCACCATCCATACGTAGCAAATAGATAAATGACAGAGCAGCAATGATTAACATCAGGTTTCACACCCCTCCACCCCTTGGATAGAATGCATGGCACTGGAGCATATAGGTTATTTCCTTATCATTACTTAGCACTGAGCTCCAGCTTAATGACCAACGACTGCTGTCATGTACACAACATCTACATTTATTGATCTTTAAAAAATAGTCTGACAAACCACATTCAAAACTAGATACAAAGAAATCATACACTTGAAATAAATGATTATATTCTTTGTTTATCTGTTGGATTCTCTTCTGATTGGTGTTTAAAATACAATGGAGCATGAAGTAAAAGGGATTCACCAGCAACCTTTCAATGACACACATAACACCCAGCAGCCCTTCTTAACCATAACCATAACTAAATCCTAACCCTAAACCCAATCCCTAACCCTAATTCTAACCGTAATTGTAACCCTAAACCTGTCACACCCTGATCTGTTTCACATGTCTTCTGCTTGTATCCACCAGGTTTCTCCTATTTTAACCCCTTGTCCCCTTTGTATTTATACCTGCATTTTCTGTTTGTCTGTTGCCAGTTCATCTTGTTTTGTCAGGTCTTACCAGCGTGTTTCCTGTTTCTCCAGTTCTCTAGTTCTTGCCTGACCCTGAGCCTGCCTGCTGTTCTGTCCCTTTTTGACTCTGCCTTGGATCACGATCCTCTGCCAGCCCTTTTTCCTGCCCCTTTTGTTATAATAAATATTCTGAGAACCGAACCGTCCGCCTCCTGTGTCTGCATCTGGGTCATATCCTGAGTCGTGATAAAACCTAAGGCTAAAATAGCTTTTTTCCCCTGTGGGGACCGGCAAAATGTCCCTATTCTTGTGAGGACAAAACATGTTTTAATTGTCACATAGGTGCAGTGAAACGTGTTATTTTACAGGGTCAGGGTTAAGTGCTTTCCTCAAGGGCACTGACATATTTTTCACCTTGTCAGCTCGGGTATTCGAACCAGCAACCTTTCGGTTACTGGCCCAACGCTTTAACCGCTAGGCTACCTGCTGCCCTCAACACTACCTTGTAAAAAGCATATACAGTATGTCAGTGTTTCCCAAATTCAGTCCTGGAGACCCTGAGGAGTGCACGTTTTGGTTTTTTGTCCTAGCACTACAGAGCTGATTCAGGTATGAAATAAAAGAGAAACTACTTTCAGTGATAATTGATCAATATGACATTCATTCCCTGGTAATAGATATAAGTTGAACTTTGATTTCCAAGAAAGCTTTCAATTTCTTTAACAGTAGACTCTGATGATAGTATTTGTGTGTATGTATTTATGAGGCTATCATTTAGAGACTGTTTTTGTGTTCTGTCTGATTGCCATGTGTGAGCCACATGCCTATAAAAGACATTTCCATTCCACAAGAATGGACAATAAAGTTTAAAATCTGAATCTGTCTTTTGACCAACCAGATAAGCTCTTTTGCTAATAATTGGGCAAATGGTCAGAAATGGGCTGCCTGTCTAAACCCAACCGTTGAGACTTAGGCATGTATCCTATGTGACCAACCGCCTTGATTCGGTCTTGTGAAGCAACATTTGAAATTGTATATATTTTTTACATTGGATAAAAGCAGAGACACAGAGCTACAAAATGATATATCATACACTACATTTAAGGGAACAATGGGAAAGTAATTCTGCTTTGAAAGTTGATCAACTTGTAACCTCACTTTTGAGAAAATGGCCTTTGAATATTTTGTTACCTACTGGAGAGCTCTTCTTTGTCTCCACCCATTGTGTCTACAGGCTCCATTCCAGTGCATTCGGAACGTATTCAGACCCATGTCATGTATTCCTAGACAGTAGTACAGGGCCTGCGGAAATTATTCAGACCCCTTTACTTTGTTCACATTTTGTTACGTTACAGCCTTATTCTGAAATTGATTAAATTGTTTTTTCCCCCCTCATCAATATACACACAGTACCCCACAATGACAAAGCAAAAACTGGTTTTTAGAAAATTTTGCAAATGTATAAATAAATAAAAACTGAAATATCACATTTAGATAAGTATTCGACCCTTCACTTAGTACTTTGTTGAAGCACCTTTGGCAGTGATTACAGCCTCGAATCTTCTAGGGTATGACGCTACAAGCTTGGCACACATGTAGCTCAGTTGGTAGAGCATGGCGTTTGCAACGCCAGGGTTGTGGGTTCAATTCCCACGGGGGGGCCAGTATGCTGCTAAATGACTAAAAGGTATTTGGGGAGTTTTTCCCATTCTTCTCTGCAGATCCTCTCAAGCTCAGTCAGGTTGGATGGGGAGCTTCGCTGCACAGCTATTTTCAGGTCTCTCCAGAGATGTTCGATCGGGTTGAGATCCGTGCTCTGGCTGGGCCACTCAAGGACATTCAGAGACATGTCCCGAAGCCACTCCTGCGTTGTCTTGGCTGTGTGCTTAGGGTCGTTGTCCTGAGCGCTCTGGAGCAGGTTTTCATCAAGGACCGCTCTGTACTTTGCTCCGTTCATCTTTCCCTCGATCCTGACTAGTCTCCCAGTCCCTGCCACTGAAAAACATCCCCACAGCATGATGCTGCCACCACCATGCTTCACCGTAGGGATGGTGCCAGATTTCCTCCAGACGTGACACTTGGCATTCAGGCCAAGGAGTTCAATCTTGTTTTCATCAGACCAGAGAATCTTGTTTCTCATGGTCTGAGTCCTTTAGGTGCCTTTTGGCAAACTCCAAGTGGGCTGTCATGTGCCTTTTACTGAGGATTGGCTTCTGTCTGGCCACTACCATAAAGGCCTAATTGGTGGAGTCCTGCAGAGAAGGTTGTCCTTCTGGAAGGTTCTCCCATCTCCACAGAGGAACTCTGGAGCTCTGTCAGAGTGACCATCGGGTTCTTGGTCACCTCCCTGACCAAGGCCCTTCTCCCCTGATTGCTCAGTTTGGCCAGGTGGCCAGCTCTAGGAAGAGTCTAGGTGGTTCCAAATATCTTCCATTTAAGAATGATGAAGGCCACTGTGTTGTTGGGGACCTTCAATGCTGCAGACATTTTTTGGTACCCTTCCCCATATCTGTGCCTCGACACAATCCTGTCTCGGAGCTCTACGGACAATTTATTCGACCTCATGGCTTGATTTCTGCTCTGACATGCACTGTCAACTGCAAATCACGTAACAAAATGTGGAAAATGTAATGGGGTCTGAATACTTTCCGAATGCACTGTAAGCATGAATGGTTCTCCAATGTCCCACGTTCCTGTAGGACTACACCAACGTATGGTGTGGGGGGGCAAGTGTAGCCATGACAACCTAGGGTTTATCTTTAACTGACAACAATCACTAGAAAAAGCAAGGAAACTATTCCAAGCATTCAACAAAGACACTTTCCCTTTCAAAGCTTTCCTGTAACGTAACTGTCAACGGAAGGTTGTTGGAAACACCCTCCCTTAGTTATTTTTGGTCCCGTACGACATGGGTAGACAACCCTGGTCCTGGAGGGCCACAGGTACCGCAGGATCTTGTTCCAACTAGGCACCACACCTGAGCAACTGAGCTAATTGATCAGTTCAGTGATTGACAAAATTCAACACACCTGGTCTTCCAGGTCGGTTAAACCTGCCTGTGGCCCTCCAGGACCAGGGTTGTCTACCCATGTCGTACGGGACCAAAAATAACTCAGGGAGGGTGTTTCCAACAACCTTCCGTTGACAGTTACGTTACAGGAAAGCTTTGCCGTATAAGATAACGACAACAAACTGTCACAACAGCATTGTGGTATAATGGAATAAGAGCGGTGTCAGTTACAGGACAGGAGAAATTCTAGAAGGAACGAGGAAGTCAAGTAAATAAGACATTCCTGTGTCTTCCTTGGTCTCAGGGTGCGCCCCAAATGGCACCCTGTTCCCTATATAGTGCACTACCTTTGACCTGAGTATGGTCAAAAGTAGTGCACTATATAGGGAACAGGGTGCCATTTGGGATTCAGCAGGCACACCTATTATAAAATGGTTGTAAGTTTCCACCCCCCCATGACCCTTGTCACGTAGAACAACCGATCTGAGAACTGGGACTGTATTCATGAAGCGTCTCGGAGTAGGAGTGCTGATCCAGGATCAGTTTTTCCCCCTTTTAGATCATAATGAATAAGATGACATGGACAAGGGGAGACCTGATCCCAGATCAGCGCTTCTTTTTCCTGAGACGCTTTACGAATACACGCCCTTTTCAAATGAAACCCTGTAGAGATTATAATAGTATTCTACTTCCTAACTCTATGAACGCCTCCCTGGCTTTTTCATTCGTTGTCTTGTCACACGACACTGTATTCAAATTGTCCACTATTACATTCCAACTACAGAATTCGAATAATCATTTCCATGATTCCAACAGTTCACCCAAGTGTTTCTATCTAAAATCACAAGTCAAATGGCAAATTGCAATATTTGGTTAAAACATAAAAGTCTAGATTTTATTGGCCCATATCGTGCAGCCCTACGTGACAGTGTGGAAATGATCTCAAATGAGATCAACTTTTGTTTGATTGAACAGTACAAACAAATCCGATGGAGAAAGACCCATTGAAATCACTTAGAATGTATGTGTTGCCACCCTTGGGACACGCACAACTCATTAAGCAAATTCTGAACTTTTATTATTTAAAAACATAAAATACTATCAAATACCGTAAAAAAAAAAAAACTATAAATATTTGGCCATATCTCCCAGCCCTACATTTGGAACACAGCCTAGATAGTAATCTAAAGCATTCTTACTGTTTTCTATCACATCTATTCAAAGTAACTAGTGGGTTCAGCTGAAGTGTGAACTAGTGCTGCGCTCAGCTTTATGGCACAGCACACAGAAACCAGTGACGTACGCCGACACCCTACGGATCTATCACGCTGACTGACGTCACAACATGCTGCAAGAAACTGGTGAGCTGAGGTTGTAAAACAGGAGCAGAGTACACTTTGCTTCTTCCACTTCCTCTTTGCCCTTAAGTCTCTTGTGGACAGACTACGTAACACAGATGGTATCAGAACATCTGTCAAACAGCCTGCAGGATGTAAACTAAACTCAAAGACAGACCATAGACAAAATGAACATCCAACTCTTATTAGACGGGTGCCCAGTACACACTCCGGTGCAACAAAATGTTCTGGTGCGTTCTTTTTAATGTCACTGGTCATTTGGACAAATCCCGATTTGGCAGGTGTGAGCATCTTTCACATTTCTGAAGGAGACATTTGGCTCATAGACTTCACCGAAACTTGCAGAGAGAGGTGGGGTGGAGCTACCGCCCTGCTTCCTCTCCTCATTCTAGTATATTTTCTCATACCTCTTCCCCCTACAACCCAATCAAGTAGCTGGCGCCAGAGTTTCCTTCTGGGATGCCGAGATTACCTTTGCCCTTCCATATTTGTAGATCTGTACAGTGGAAGCATTATGGTGGAAGCTTCACCACTGCTCTGATTATACTTGAATAAATCCTTCAGATCAGCAAACATGGAAGGGTAAAGGCCAAGGAGGAAGGGTAGGGAGTGGTTTGGGACTGGCTGTACTACTCAGTCTGACTGAAATACCTTTTTTTAGTTTTCCGTTGAAAAACCTTTTGCTACGGTGTGCAGTAATGAATAGCACCCTAGTCTACTTAGACTGGCCAGGAGGGTGTCCTAGTCTACTGGCCAGGAGGGGTCCTAGTCTACTGGCCAGGAGGGCTCCTAGTCTACTGGCCAGTGAGGGTTTCCTAGTCTACTGGCCAGGAGGGTTTCCTAGTCTACTGGCCAGGAGGGTTTCCTAGTCTACTGGCCAGGAGGGTGTCCTAGTCTACTGGCCAGGAGGGTGTTCCTAGTCTACTGGCCAGGAGGGTTTCCTAGTCTACTGGCCAGGAGGGGTTTCCTAGTCTACTGGCCAGGAGGGTGTCCTAGTCTACTGGCCAGGAGGGTGTCCTAGTCTACTGGCCAGGAGGGTTCCTAGTCTACTGGCCAGGAGGGTGTCCTAGTCTACTGGCCAGGAGGGTGTCCTAGTCTACTGGCCAGGAGGGTGTCCTAGTCTACTGGCCAGGAGGGTTCCTAGTCTACTGGCCAGGAGGGTGTCCTAGTCTACTGGCCAGGAGGGTGTCCTAGTCTACTGGCCAGGAGGGTGTCCTAGTCTACTGGCCAGGAGGGTGTCCTAGTCTACTGGCCAGGAGGGTGTCCTAGTCTACTGGCCAGGAGGGTGTCCTAGTCTACTGGCCAGGAGGGTGTCCTAGTCTACTGGCCAGGAGGGTGTCCTAGTCTACTGGCCAGGAGGTGTGTCCTAGTCTACTGGCCAGGAGGGTGTCCTAGTTCTACTGACTGCCAGGAGGGTGTCCTAGTCTACTAGCCGAGGTTTGTTCCTGTCTAACTGGCCAGGAGGGCTCCTAGCTCACTGGCGCATCAACGGAGAGGGTCTAGTTACTGGCCAGGAGGGTTTCCATAGTTATGGCAGGAGGGGTGTCCTAGTTACTGGCAGGAGGGGTCCGATGGTCTACTGGCCAGGAGGGTGCTAGTTACTGGCCAGGAGGGTGTCTAGTTAATGGCCAGGAGGGTGTCGAGTCTACTGGCAGGAGGGTGGTCCTAGTTACTGGCCAGGAGGGTGTCCTAGTCTACATGGCCAGGAGGGTGTCCTAGTCAACTGGCCAGGAGGGTGTCCTAGTCTATGGCCAGGGAGAGAGAGGAGGGTCCAGTCTACTGGCCGGAGGGTTCCTAGTTACTGGAGGAGGGTGTCTAGTCTACTGGCACAGGGGGGTCTAGTCTATGGCAGGAGGGTGCTAGTTGACTGGCCAGGAGGGAGTTAGCTGGAGAGATGAGACAGCAGGGAGGGGTTCCAGGAGTCTAAAGACAGGCGCAGGAAGGAGCAGGGTGGCACTAGTCACTGGGCACAGGGAGGAGTAGCACTAGCGACGTTAGGCAGGAGGAGAGACAGGGAGGGAGACAGGGGATCGAGGCATGGTAGAAACGTGTCAGAGAGAGGGAAAGTGGACTGAGAGGCCAGGGACCATGAGAGACAACGGAGAGCAGGAGAGACCGCGCTGAGTTAGCAGACTGACAGGGAGGAGAAGGAGGGAGAGAGAGAAGGGGATGAGAGATACGGGAGAGAGAGATGGGAGATGGAGACAGGAGAACGGAGAGAGATAGGGAGAGCGGACGGTGGAGGAGAGACAGGGAAGGTTGAGAGACAGGGAGAGGAGACAGAGGGAGTTAGAGAGACAGGGAGAGAGAGACAGGGAAGAGCAGAGTTAGAGACAGGAGAGATGAGACAAGGGAGGAGAGAGATAGAATGAGATGACACAGATACAGTAGTTAATGGATTGGCTCAGTATCAAGTGTAACAGTCAAGGATGGATGAGGTACAGATGAGGTAGGACCATAGAGAACAGGAACTTTAGTGGTGCACAGATGGACACATTGATATGATGACACTTGGTGACCAGGAGCACTATGGGCTACATAGGGACTAGGGTGCCGTTTGGCCGGGGGACTGCTTTAGACATCTTCCTCTTAGAAAGCAACCTCGTCCACAGGCTATTGCCCACAGTGGAGGACATGTGTGGAGCACAAGATTAAGTTACGGAAACCAATCATGTGATAAGGATATTTTGGTATATCTGTGTGACATCAGTGTTGACAATCACATTTATTTTCATCCGAATTGAACTTGGGTTACCATCGGAATGCAATGCCCAGGCACGTTGATGAGCTCACCTGTCTTTCTGTTCCGGGTTAAACAGGTTGGAATGTGACGAATGGGGACTCTGGAAGAGACAGCATTAGTTTGTTTCCACATTTAAAATGATTGACATGTGTCACACATACATACAGTCAGCGCACACACACACACACACACACACAGAAATCTCAGCGGTATGACTTCTTTGGTTTTGGCCCAAACGTAATATAACATTTAAAGAAGTTCAGTTTGAGCAATATTTTCCTGTATCGAATCATTGACGCCATTAAAAAAAACATCCAACATTCCAAACGGAAACCATTAAAACATGACCTATGGGAAAGAGGTAGTGGATGTCAACGTGGATGCCAACATATAGGGGAAATAGGAGAGGAGAAGGACTTTCCACCGCCAAACTTTGTATTCATTGGTTTTGCCATTTGGCAGATGGTTTTATCTAAAATAATCAAATGAAAGATTTGAAGAGCACCTAATGAGTTACACAATGACAGGAATAATATGCATGACAATATTTAAATCAAATTGAGAATATTTGACGTAAATGTGTGCCGTTGCGCACGACTGAATATCTTATGATTATTTAATCCTTTGTCAACTTAGTGTGACCTTGACATTAACACAGCCGCTTGCTTTATGAATAACACTCTGTCAGATGAAGCTCAAGGTTAGAATACCACTAGGAGGGACCAGAGGGTGCATTTGTTTTAGCTTGTTTTAGCTCCTGGTTGGAGTAGAGATTTCACTAGGTCACAATGTAATGGTCTAAAATGTGCAACCTGCCATCAACGACACACAGGCGATCAATTCCCATACAGTAGACCTAACACATCCAAATCTCAAAACACGGTCAGAGACCACACCGCTAGTGACCCTGACCTCCCACCCTCAGACCTCCCACCCCCAGTCCTGTCCCCTTTCCCCCCCATCACTCTTTACCTGCCCAAACAGGCTCTTCAGGTGTAGCTTGGCTGCTGACAGCTTGGCTCTGGCGTGAGACCGTTGCTGTGACTTGAAGGAGAAGGTGCTGGAGCCAGAGGTTGAGTACGAGGGAGAGGGCGGCGGCTGGTCGTCCCTGCCCACGCTCTCTGTGCTGCGGCCTGTAGTAGCGGGAGCCAACTGCCCGTCACTGTACGCCCTGCATCCTTCACTGAGGTTCATCACTCCCAGATGACCCTTACCCTCTAGCTTCCCCAGTTCTGTGATGTACTCCGCGCTGACGCTGTGCTCCTTGCTCAGTTCCCCCCTCCCCGTCGTACTCCCAGGGCTGGCCCCAGGCTCCAGGATGATGGGGGTGGGGGGGAGAGAGGTGGTTTGCCCATCCAGTTTGTCCTCCCCCTTGTGGGTGGTGTAGGTGCCCTGACTCCCCGTCCCGGCTGTGGTAGTTGTGGTCCTTCAGCGGTACCTTCGTCCTCGGCAGGAAATCCATATCGAGTAGGGACCCCTCGGAGCTGTACCGACGCATGATGGCAGCGCCGCTGGATGGAGGTAGAGTCAAGGAAGGATGGAGGGACAGATGTGCAGGTGGAGAAAGAGAAGAAGAGTGAAGGGAAGTCAAGCGGGTATGGGAAAGGGAGGATGAAAGAGAGAAAGAGTCTGGAGGGAGGTGCCCAGCAAAGAACAGCCTGTAAAAGGAAACAGAGAGAGGGGAGGGGAAAGGAGGGGAGGGGGGAGAGAGGAAGATAAAATTGGACAATCACAGAAAATGGGTCAATTCATCCGGACCACAGTGTGCTGTTCCATATCACTGGTACACTTTTACAGAGTCAAGCTGCAAAGTGAAGATCGGCTCACAAGTAGGTACAGCTGCAGTTAAAAACACACTCGGCATCCCAAATGGCACCCTATTCCGTACACAGCGCCCTACTTTTGACCAGAGCCCTTGTCAAAAGTAGTGCACTATGTACAGAATAGGGTGCCATTTTGGGACATAAAACATGAGTCAGACCAGCTACTTTTGACCAGCTGCAGTATGTATGATCACAATTGCCATGTCCATGGCTGTCAAGTGCACTCCACATGTAATGTGAGTTAATGAGAAAGCTGTGCTTTTTTCTGATATTCACGTGACATATTGAAAGCACCAATTAGTTTCCAACTGAAATGAGAGACATATTAACATAAATGTGTTGGCCTTGGCTGCAATAATTAGATGAAATGTAGTCATGTCAGTCTACTGATTTGAATTCAACAGATTTTTCACTGATTCTACTGATTTGAAATATTGATTTGATTGAAATTGTCTCCCTGCAACTTGACCCACATCTAAATGACATATGACTTGTGTGAACAGCAACATGTATTCTCCATACTATCATATGACTGGTGTGAACAGCAACATGTATTCTCCATACTATCATATGACTGGTGTGAACAGCAACACGTATTCTCCATACTATCATATGACTGGTGTGAACAGCAACACGTATTCTCCATACTATCATATGACTGGTGTGAACAGCAACACGTATTCTCCATACTATCATATGACTGGTGTGAACAGCAACACGTATTCTCCATACTATCATATGACTGGTGTGAACAGCAACATGTATTCTCCATACTATCATATGACTGGTGTGAACAGCAACATGTATTCTCCATACTATCATATGACTGGTGTGAACAGCAACACGTATTCTCCATACTATCATATGACTGGTGTGAACAGCAACACGTATTCTCCATACTATCATATGACTGGTGTGAACAGCAACACGTATTCTCCATACTATCATATGACTGGTGTGAACAGCAACATGTATTCTCCATACTATCATATGACTGGTGTGAACAGCAACATGTATTCTCCATACTATCATATGACTGGTGTGATTTGAACAGCAACATGTATTCTCCATACTATCATGTTTACTTATGTTTTTAACTTGGTGTTTTCAAATAAAATAAAATCACATTTTTATTTGTCACACGTGCCGAATACAACAGGTGTAGACCTTACAGTGAAATGCTTACTTACAAGCCCTTAACCAACAATGCATTTGTAATTGTGTATTAAAGTAATACCCACGAATTTCAGTGTTTATGCTATGTATAAATCTAATCTTGAACTTGGGCTGTCTAGAAGGCATTACATAACTGTTGAGACTGCCGCTGAGAACTTTAAACAGAAGTATGATCTATATCCCACAGGAGGGGAGTTCAATTCCTTGCAGTAAGTGTAAACCAAAAACAGAGCCGGAGTAAAAATGTATTACCTCGATGTCCTGCGGTTACTCTGCCACCTGTGCTTTCATGATTTTGGCTCCAAACAAAGAGTTGTCTGTCCTGGCAAGTATATCCACTGTTTGAACCATAATATATATATATATATATTATGTAAAGCTTAAATTCGATTAGGCTTGCTTTAGTTGCGGGACTCACTTGTGACGTCAGAGCATTGCCTGTGGTGTATTATTAAGTAGGAACCAAACGGAACGAAACGGGGAGAGACTTAGCTGAATTTGTCCAATATAAAGTGTCGTTTTTATTGTAAAACGTTTTCCGTTTGTAGAAAATGGTTTCCTTTGCAAAAGTTTTGGACTAATGATTACACACCTGGCAAGACGCGCAGCCGCTGATGCCCACTCTCTCTCTCCACCAAGTGCTCTCAATCATCAACAGAGTCCGGACGCTGCATGTGTTACCGAATATCTATAAATAAATAACAAGCACACTGACACACGAAACGAAATTACTAGCACCAAGAAAGTTTCTCTATCTCAAACTTCACTCAGACCTGTTTTTATTTTATTTTACACTTGCATTAACCAGAAACGCCTGTTGTCTGTGTTGACACCCACAACTCCGTCTCAGCTTGCCGTCTTGTCACTTGAAGATCTCTGTACAGCACAAAATAATTCACATATTTTAGGTGTGTCCTGGAAAAACGCCATAACCCACGTTGGAAGAACTGCCCGGGGTAGCAGGCCTACTATGAATGGAGTCACTGAAGGGAGGCAACTTTTCTGTGGCTGCCTGAGCTATTTTAATGTCAGTGTCAGTGATGGAACGGAAGATCATTCAAATAAGTGTTTTAAATGGAATAATATGTGATAATTAACTTAAATAATGTTCCATTATCCTATTTTGTTACTTGAACAGTATATTTTAGGATCCACATTTTTGGATTAAACAATAATATGCCATTTAGCAGACGCTTTTATCCAAAGCGACTTACAGTCATGCATGCTTACATTTTTTTGTGTATGGGTGGTCCCGTGGATCGAACCCACTACCCTGGCGTTACAAGCGCCATGCTCTACCAGCTGAGCTACAGAGGACCAATGTAGTCCTACAAAGGACTATGCACTCTATGCTACACACGGCATCAAGCCATCTCTGAACTGTACTCTACTGCATTACACTGTTCATTGCTCTGCAATTAGATATATTCATACGGATACTGTAAATACACTGTATATCAACCATATACCCATTGTATGTCAACCATATACCCACTGTTTATCAACCATACAGTTGAAGTCCTTCTACCCCCCCCCCCCCCCTAAAAAATAATAAAAAAAAATATAATAATAATATTGTGAAGTGGTTATCAAATCAAATCAAATCAAATCAAATCAAATTTTATTGGTCACATGCGCCGAATACAACAGGTGCAGACATTGCAGTGAAATGCTTACTTACAGCCCTTAACCAACAGTGCATTTATTTTAAACAAAAAAAAAGTAAGAATAAAACAACAACAACAAAAAAGTGTTGAGAAAAAAAGAGCAGAAGTAAAATAAAGTGACAGTAGGGAGGCTATATATACAGGGGGGTACCGTTGCAGAGTCAATGTGCGGGGGCACCGGCTAGTTGAGGTAGTTGAGGTAATATGTACATGTGGGTAGAGTTAAAGTGACTATGCATAAATACTTAACAGAGTAGCAGCAGCGTAAAAAGGATGGGGTGGGGGGGGGCAGTGCAAATAGTCCGGGTAGCCATGATTAGCTGTTCAGGAGTCTTATGGCTTGGGGGTAGAAGCTGTTGAGAAGTCTTTTGGACCTAGACTTGGCACTCCGGTACCGCTTGCCGTGCGGTAGCAGAGAGAACAGTCTATGACTAGGGTGGCTGGAGTCTTTGACAATTTTGAGGGCCTTCCTCTGACACCGCCTGGTATAGAGGTCCTGGATGGCAGGGAGCTTTGCCCCAGTGATGTACTGGGCCGTACGCACTACCCTCTGTAGTGCCTTGCGGTCAGAGGCCAAGCAGTTGCCATACCAGGCGGTGATGCAACCAGTCAGGATGCTCTCGATGGTGCAGCTGTAGAATTTTTTGAGGATCTGAGGACCCATGCCAAATCTTTTTAGTCTCCTGAGGGGGAATAGGCTTTGTCGTGCCCTCTTCACGACTGTCTTGGTGTGTTTGGACCATGATAGTTCGTTGGTGATGTGGACACCAAGGAACTTGAAGCTCTCAACCTGTTCCACTACAGCCCCGTCGATGAGAATGGGGGCGTGCTCAGTCCTCTTTTTTTTCCTGTAGTCCACAATCATCTCCTTTGTCTTGGTCACGTTGAGGGAGAGGTTGTTGTCCTGGCACCACACGGCCAGATCTCTGACCTCCTCCCTATAGGCTGTCTCATCGTTGTCGGTGATCAGGCCTACCACTGTTGTGTCGTCGGCAAACTTAATGATGGTGTTGGAGTCGTGCCTGGCCATGCAGTCATGGGTGAACAGAGAGTACAGGAGGGGACTGAGCACGCACCCCTGAGGGGCCCCCGTGTTGAGGATCAGTGTGGCAGATGTGTTGTTACCTACCCTTACCACCTGGGGGCGGCCCGTCAGGAAGTCCAGGATCCAGTTGCAGAGGGAGGTGTTTAGTCCCAGGATCCTTAGCTTAGTGATGAGCTTAGAGGGCACTATGGTGTTGAATGCTGAGCTGTAGTCAATGAATAGCATTCTCACGTAGGTGTTCCTCTTGTCCATGTGGGAAAGGGCAGTGTGGAGTGCGATAGAGATTGCATCATCTGTGGATCTGTTGGGGCGGTATGCAAATTGGAGTGGGTCTAGGGTTTCTGGGATTATGCTGTTGATGTGAGCCATGACCAGTCTTATCCCACTGGCTATAGGGTGAATGCACCAATTTGTAAGTCGCTCTGGATAAGAGCGTCTGCTAAATGACGTAAATGTAATGTAAATGTAAGTCGGAAGTTTACATACACTTAGGTTGGAGTCATTAAAACTCGTTTTTCAACCACTCCCCACATTTCTTGTTAACAAACTATAGTTTTGGCAAGTCGGTTAGGACATCTACTTTGTGCATGACACAAGTAATTTTTCCAACAATTGTTTACAGACAGATTATTTCACTTATAATTCACTGTATCACAATTCCAGTGGGTCAGAAGTTTACATACACTAAGTTGACTGTGCCTTTAAACAACTTGGAAAATTCCAGAAAATTATGTCATGGCTTTAGAAGCTTTGAGTCAATTGGAGGTGTACCTGTGGATGTATTTCAAGGCCTACCTTCAAATTCAGTGCCTCTTTGCTTGACATCATGGGAAAATCAAAAGAAATTAGCCAAGACCTCAGAAAAAAAATTGTAGACCTCCACAAGTCTGGTTCATCCTTGGGATCAATTTCCAAATGCCTGAAGGTACCACGTTCATCTGTACAAATAATAGTATGCAAGTATAAACACCATGGGACCACGCAGCCGTCATACCGCTCAGGAAGGAGACGCGTTCTGTCTCCTAGAGATGAACGTACTTTGGTGCGAAAAGTGCAAATCAATCC